GGTCTCTTCCCAATAGTTGGGAATATTTGAATGTTAACTTGACCCACAATGAAAGTATAAAAACTTTTTCTGATGTTGCTCGACATGTTGAACTTGAAGACGAGCGGCTTGGTGCTGCTAAAGCTGCTTCTAATACCTTTGTGGCTGAATCTAGTGGTACAAAGTCTTCATGCTTCAAGCGCAAGAAAAATTAGAAAAAGAAAGGAAAGGGGAAGGAGACTGAACAAGGACCCTCAGAAAAAAAAAGACAAACCAAATTCCAAGAAGGGAAAATGTTTTTTCAAGAAGAGAGACAAAAGCAAAATGAAGTGCTACAATTGCCAAGTTCTAGGGCATTTTGCTCGTGAATGTAACGAGCCAAAAAAGGTAGCATTCCTAAACGCATCTTTGAGTGTTGTGTATGTTTCAAGCACTTCTTTACTAACTGAATCTTACGCTATGTGGACTGTAGACTCAGGATCCACCGACTACGTGAGTCGAGATCGAGAAGCGTTTGTGGAGTTTCGTCGAGTTTCACCTGGATCAAGGTGGATTTATGTAGGAAATAATACTAGACTTGAAGTCAAAGGAATAGGCACTTGCAAAGTAGACTTGCGTGGTGGCCAATCTTTGTTGTTGCATGACGTCCTATATGCTCCAGAGATTCGACGAAATTTAGTATCTGTCTCTGTTCTATTGGATGTTGGTTTCGATTTGTTTTTTAGTCGCAATGGTATAAGAATATCTCTAGATAATGTTTTATATGGTTTTGGACTTCGTTATGATCGTTTTTATTGTTTTAGATTGTAATCTTTAAACTTATGACTATTATGTTGATCGTTGTGTAATGGCATGTTATTCAAGTAACAATGATATAGATGATATTACATGTCATGCAAGATTAGGTCACATAGGGCAAGATTGAATGAATAGGTTGGTAAAGAAAGGGCATTTAGGTTCTTTCTCCATCATTGATATGCCAACTTGTTAAAATTGTCTTGCTGGAAAGATTATGCGCAAACCATTTGGGAAGGCTAAAAGAGCTGAATTTCCACTTCAATTAATCCATTCTGATATTTGTTGGTCCAATGAATGTGAGGGCAAGGTCTGGTGCTGGATACTTCATTACATTTATTGATGATTTCACGCACTTTGGTTGTGTCTATTTGATTTCTCATAAATCTGAAGCACTTGAGTGCTTTAAAAGATATATGAATGAAGTTGAAAATCAATTAGATAAAGGTAAAAAGGTTTTAGAACTGACTGAGTACATGAATATTTGTCAAAACAATTTGAAGAATTATGTACTGTAAAGGGCATTATGAGACAGTTAACTACTCCTTATACACCTCAACAAAAATGGTGTAGCTGAAAGAAGGAATAGAACATTATTGGACATGATAAGATCAATGATGGCGCAGGCAAATTTGTCTATCTCTTTCTGAGGAGATGCATTATTGACTGCGGCCTACATATTGAATAAAGTGTCTTCTAAATCAGTATCTTCCACTCCTTATGAACTTTGGACTGGTCATGAAACAAACCTGAATGATCTACCACCTTGGGGTTGTGCTGCATATATTAAAGATCGTTTTGGTGAGTTTGGTAAACTAAGTCCAAAAGGAAAGAGTTGTATCTTTATTAGATACTCAGAACGCTCCAAAGGGTATGTGTTCATTGATGAATTGGAGGATGGAAGTATTACTGAAATTGTATCACGAGATGTCAGATTTTTGGAAAATTATTTTCCCAAAAAGGGTGAAATAAATGAAGGTGGGCCTCTCTACGAAATGTTGAATTCAGAAGATCAGTTAATGTTGTCAGACATACTTGATAGATCAATGGATCAAGAAATGGTTCCTGGTCCAAGTGGGAGTTTTGAATCCCAAAATCCTATAGAGGAATCTGAGCTCTAATTACGTAAGAGCAAAAGAAAAGGTGTACCTAAACGATTTTATGAGATTGAGGATTATGTTTTCTTGGTATCTCTGACAGAATTGGATGAACCTAATTCTGTGATTGAGGCTTTATCGAGCCCTAAAAAGGATGAATGGTTAAAAGCGATGAAAGAAGAATTAGAGTCAATGAAAACCAACAAAGTCTGGGATCTAGTTGACCTTCCTCAGGGACGTAGAGCTATTGGGAATAAATGGGTTCTCAAAGTTAAACGCAAATTGGATGGGTCAATAGAAAGACACAAAGCACGATTGGTGGCAAAAGGTTTTACTCAAGAAGCTGTAATAGATTGTGAGGAAATTTTTTCACCAGTTGTGAAGTTTACCTCTGTACGATTACTTTTGGCTATTGTTGCAAGTTTAGATCTAGAATTACACCAAATGGATGTGAAGACCGCTTTTATCAATGGAGAGCTAAACGAGGAAATCTACATGGAACAACCTGTAGGTTTCGTTGTTAAAGGCCAAGAAAAGAAAGTTTGTAAATTGAAAAGATCAATTTATGACCTAAAGCAATCTTCAAGGCAGTGGTACTTGAGATTTCATAAGGAGGTGATTTCATTTGATTTCACCATGATCGATGAAGACCATTGCATCTATGTGAAAAAGTCCAATAGAAAGTTTGTAATTCTTTCTCTTTACGTGGATGATATTTTATTAGCCGGTAATAATTTGGAGTATGTAAAAACTGTTAAGTCATTTGACATGAAAGATATGGGTGAAGCAGACTATATACTGGGTGTTAAAATTCAAAGAGATCGTTCCAAAAAAGTTTTTGAGTCTATATCAAGAAACATACATAAAGAAAATTTTGGAACGCTTCCGAATGAATAGTTGCAAGCCTATGGATACTCCAATAGCAAGAGGTGAAACTTTAAGCCTTGAAATGTGTTCAAAGACTGAAAAAGAAAAGGAAGACATGTCTTGAGTTCCATATTCTAGTGTTATCGGGAGTCTGATGTACGCTATGATGTGTACTCGTCCAGACATTTGTTATGACGTAGGTCTGGTAGGCAGGTATCAATCTAGTCCCGGAAGAGATCATTAGAAGGCAGTGAAGAGAATATTCTGATATTTGAAGGGAACTGTAGATTATTCACTATGCTATAGTGGATCTGATTTACTCTTGAGAGATTACACAGATGCTGATTGGGCTGGTGATCGGAATGATAGAAAATCAACCTCTGGTTATGCTTTCTTACTTAATGGTGGTGCTATTTCATGAAAAAGTAAGAAACAAACTTGCACAACTCTTTCAACCATGGAATCTGAATTCGTAGCTTGTGCATCTGCAGTACAAGAAGCTGTTTGGTTAAAGAGATTCTTTGAGCATTTGAATGTTGCAAAGAATTCTAAGGGTCCCATGACTTTATATTGCGACAGTCAGGCAGCCATCGCATATACAAAGGATCCTAAGTATCACAGTAAAACCAAACACATTGATATCAAATATAACTTTGTGAGAGACATAGTAGCAAGTGGAGAAGTGAATCTACAATACATTCATACTCGCGAAATGATAGCTGGTCCTTTTACAAAGGCCATATCTAGAGACCTGTTTGAAAAACATGTTAAGGCTCTAGGTTTGCGTAGGAAATGATGATATTTATGTAATGTAAAACAACTTTGTTGTTATGATATTCTCATAAAAGTAAGACTATTGAATTTATGTCTCATATGCATGTGATAATGTTTTAGAAATAAAATATGTCGGACAAGTCGCGAGGTTGGATCTCTCACACGAGCAATCGCCTCTTACGTCAGAGAACGTGAAGAGATAATTTTCACTGTCATGCTATGACTTGTTTTATAAACCAGACAAGAGTCTCTCTAAGAAAATGAGTTTGAGGATCACTGGAGATAGAAACTCGGGTTAGACATCAAGAGGTGTCTAGACCAAGGTCTGTACGATGTTGGATAATTAAAAGAAATGACACACATGCACCAGGATAAGGTGACAACATCGTAGCACGTGTTTCGTACCACGTGTGTTAAGCGACCAATGGGTTAATGAAAGAATGGTTTCCTTCTTCTTCATTGTGTGAGACCCTGAAAAGTTAAAATTAACTTTTCATTGGAATACCCTTTGACCTTTAACTGTTTCTTGAAATTTCAATCAATGTTGTTACTTTAGCATGTCACTAATAGCCATGAATGATTTGACAGTGTAGTGCATGTCTAGGAAAGCAGTTGACTTGGAACAGATAGATTCGAGTAGAAAGGGAAGACGATTAAATTAAAATAATCTCACTTGTGTACACAAGTCGGCTATTATACTAACCATATGGATGTCGAGTGTAATTGTGCATATAAAGTTAAACTTGAACTCGAGTTCACCTCTTAAAGAGGATGAGGGAACGAATGAGTAACTACTGAAGTAGTGAAGTCTGGGGTATTGTGAGTACTCATATCCTCATATTAAAAGTGAATTATTTCCATACGTGATTGAATTCCTATATAGGGCTTATAAAACCTTGAAGGCAAGCCTTGATGCTCACAGGTCGCACGAACTATTTGTCGTATGAATTGTGTGTCTAGTTGATGTAATATTGGCTTGGGTTTTGTCCACCATGTGCAAAGTGGGAGATGTAAGTTTTTGGGATCATGAATCGCCCATGTGAACCGATCCGATCCAATCTTACCCGACCCGTAAATAAAGGATTATGTGGTTTTTTAAATAAAGGATGAACGGTTGTGTTATCACTGTTCAACCTTATCCTTAAATGGAGGGGGAACAGTTATAACTGTTCAAATCCTTTTTGAAAAGGAGAGGGAACAGTTATCCGATAACTGCTCAATCTCCCCTAATAAAAAGGGGAAGTCTTCTGCTTCAAAAGAGGGAACACGAGAGACATTACGTAGAAAATAAAAGGAAAAACCAGAAAGAAGGAAAAACAATCCTGACTTTCTAGATTACATTATCACACTAAAAGACATTTAGTTTGTGAACTTTAACCTTGATTTCCTAGTGAAATCAAAGGAGACTTCGGGCAGGTTCTTTTGGTAGCAACAACAACAATATCCGCTGCGTATTTAAGGTACACAAGCCATTGTTTTTGCTCCGAATTATATTACATGAGCCGGTGTAAGTATGCTCACAATTTGCTTCAGTGTTTTCATCCTCAACTTATCAGCTTCTTCCATTACTGTTGCCATATTGTGGCTATGCTTATCTAAATCTTCATCTGCATTCTCATGATCTTTCATCATCTTGCTGGCTAGTGACTGGTCCACTATGTCTTCTTGCAAGCTAGCCAATTTGGAACAAAGCTTCCTCTCTTGTTGAATCGTCTTGGTCTGCAGCTTGTCGATTATGGTCATTTGTTCTATCGTTAACCCGTGAAATTCGCCAGTTTTGATCCCCTGAAGCAACTCAGTGAGATGAGATTCAATTTCCATACCGCTGAGAGCGTAAATGAGACGTATAAAAGAAGATGGTCCGCAGCCACCGATCCATAGGACTGAGTTCTCCAATGGAGTGCATGACTTTGGTCCAAAGAATGGTGACACGTCCTTTTGTGCTAGGCGGCTACGATTGTCACAGTAGTCTTGGAAGTGGTTTATTATCTTTTCAAATGAGTTGTGTAAGTTTATGTTCATCTTTGACGCCGTTTTTAACCTGAGCTGCAGCTTGTTCAAGTTCTATCAGTTCTTCATGTTGAAGATTCGCCCAAGATTCGTGTAGAATTTCTTACTCCTTTCGATCACTGTTATTTGAACTTGACATTTCCTTTTCTCAAGAATTGAATAATGCTTTACTTTTTTTTTTCGCATGGATATCTATGTATGCCGGTATAAATAAGGCTCATGAATAAGCTGAAGATGACAAAAAGGAAAACAACTCCCCTAAAGGGACAAAAAAGTAAATGGTACCCTAATTAGGAGCAAGTATAATTCTTTTTTCACCCTGGGATATTTACCTGAAGTTGTGCTTATGTGTCTTACGTGTTTTTTTGACGCGCAGCAGAAATTAAACCGCGATATTTGTTTTTTCTAGACTTCTTAGTTTGCCAACACTTTATTATTCTACTGCACATATCGAGGGTGTCATTTGCACAACATGTGCCCAAGCTTTGTTTTCTTTATTTTTTTATTCCAAAAGATTACTTATGTCAACTTAAAAATAGTATTACAGCGAGTTGGTAGTGCCCTTGGCAGAGAACAAAAGGAGGTCAGTGCTCAAAGTAGGTGGTGGTACTTGGTGGCATAAGAGCTAGTACGTGCAGGGTTATTACTCCCCGCAAGCTTGGTTTTCACTGCTCAGTGAGTATTCTTATTCATGTTATGTCGAGGAAGAGGCAAACTCGAAAATAAAGAAGATAAAGAACACCAATTTTTGACGTGGAAAAATCCTTCAAATTAAATATAAAAATAAAAATCCAAAAAACTCCACTATAACAATAAGAGGGTTACAAAAGTTCTCCAAATTGGCTACACAACAAGTGCCAAACACGAAGCAACAATAGCAACAAGAAATCTCTAAAAAAACACTGTTATGTGCTAAAGTCTTTCAAAGACTTATACCAATGAGCATAGAACAATTCTCCAAGGTTGTCCTATTTATAGATAATGAGTGGTGTTTTCTCTAAAAGCCAAAACCAACTCTAATAGGAATAAAAATCGAATCCAATTCCGAATAGGAATGGAAACCAAAAGAGAATAGGATTAGGCCATTGGGCCTTTGGTTGGACAACATGGGCATGGGCCCAACAAACTCCCCCTCCAGCCAAGGGGCAAAATATGTCTTCAAGTAAAGGAACAATTGACAGGCTTTATGCTTGCCAATGTTCTGCAAAATTCATGTTATCTGCAACCACCGCTTTTGTCAGCATATCCGAAGGATTTTCATAAGTGTGTATTTTCTCAACCTCAAATAATTTTTCTTCCACGACCATTCTTATCCAATGATACTTTCTATTTATATGTTTGGTCTTAAAATGAAAACTGGAGTGCTTGGTGAGACAGATAGCACTCTGATTATCACAAAATAAGATGTACCTTGGCTGCTCAAGCCAAGATCATTAATAAACTCCTTCATTCATAATAGTTCTTTGGCACCTTCTGTGACAACAATATATTAGGCTTCTATGGTGGATAAAGCTATGCACTTCTGTAGTCTAGATTGCCAAGAAACAGCTCCCCCTGCAAAAGTGATCAAATAACCGGAAGTGGATATTGAATTATCAAGATTGGCTCATAAATCAAAGTCTGTAACAAACAAGTTCAGGCTTGCCATTGCCAACGCACACCTTCAAATCTGCAGTGCCTTTCAAATACCTTAATATCCATTTTACTGCATCCCAATGTTCTTTTCCAGGATTAGAAAGGAATCTACTAACAGTACCAACGACATGTGCAATATCTGGTCTAGTACAAACCATAGCATACATCAAGCTACCAACGGCAGAAGAGTAAGGAATACGAGACATATTCTTTTTCTCTTCACCAGTAGATGGACTCTGACTAATACTCAATTTGAAGTGTTTAGCAAGAGGAGTACTAACCACCTTTCTATTTGTCATATCGAAACCTCTTGAGTACCTTCTCAATGTATTGCTTTTGGGATAAAAATAACTCCTTTTTATCTCTATGTCGGTGGATTTGAATGCCCAAGATTTTCTTTGCTAGCCCCAAGTCCTTCATGGCAAACGATTTGCTCAACAGTTTCTTAAGGACTGCAATTCTGGATTTATTCTTGCCAACAATAAGCATATCATCCACATAAAGCAATAAGATAATAAAATCATCATCAGAGAACTTCTGGAAGAATACACAGTGGTCTGAAGAAGTTTTCTTGTACCCTTATTTTTCTATGACAGATTCAAACTTCAAATACCATTACTTTGGAGCTTGTTTCAATCCATACAAGCTCTTTTTTAATTTTCAGACATAGTTTTCTTTTTCCTTAATTACAAAAACCTCAGGTTGCTCCATATAGATCTCCTCATCTAAATCACCATGAAGAAAAACAGTCTTGACATCCATCTGCTCAACCTCTAAATCTAGACTTGCGGCTAAGCCTAGAACCACATGAATATAAGACATCTTCACAACAGGGGAGAAAATTTCATCAAAGTCAACTCCCTTCTTCTGGCCAAAACCTTTAACAACTAACCTCTCCTTATACCTGGGCGCAGATGTATGATTGTCTTGCTTTACTCTGAATATCCATTTGTTTGATAAAGCTTTCTTACCTTTTGGCAATTTCACTAACTCAGATGTGTCATTCTCATGGAATGACTTCATCTCATCTTCCATGGCTTTTATCCACTGATCTTTGTGATATCTAGCATGCTTTATCATAATTCTCAGGTTCTCCCATGTCATTCAAAAGTACATACTCATCAGGAGGATAGCGCATGGATTTTTGCTTCTCCCTTGTAGATCTTCGAAGAAAGGTTTCAGGTGCATTCAAATTAGTTACATGAGCAGGCATTGGTTGTTGATCAACTACAACTTCATCAAATGGAGCATCCATAACATCTACACCATGATGATTATTTTGATCTTGATCACTATCTTCATTATTTTCTTGGGTTCCTTCATGTGCTATAGGTGCCTTGGCAATAGAAACTGGATCAATATCAACCAAGCTCTCATTACTCTAAGAATCTATCTTCTCAGCTTTGTCAATATCTTTAATAGTCTGATCTTCAAAGAATACTCCATCATGACTTCTAATAAGTTTATTGTCAACTGGATCATAAAAACGATACCCAAACTTATCTTGACCATAACCGATAAAGATGCACTGCTTAGTTTTGCCATCCAGTTTCGATCTCTCATCTTTAGGAACATGCACACATGCTTTACACCCAAAAACTCTTAGGTGATCATAAGAATTATCGTTGGCAAACCAAACTCTCTCTGGGAAATCACCATCCAAAGCAACAACAGGAGACAAATTGATAACATAGGCAAAAGTGTTTAGTGCTTCCGCCCAAAATGTATTTGGAAGTTTAACCTCTAAAAGCAAGCATCTAATTCTCTCAACTAGAGTTCTATTCATCCTCTCTTCCAAACCATTCAATTGAGGCATCTTGGGCGGAGTTTTCTGATGACGAATTCCTTATTCATTGCAATAGTTATCAAAGGGACCACAATATTCACCACCATTGTCAGTGCGAATGTATTTTAGTTTCTTCCCCGTCTATCTCTCAGCTAAGGCCTGAATTTCCTTAAATATGCCGAGTGCTTAATCTTTGGATTTTAAAGTATACACCCAGGGTTTGAGAGAATGATCATCAATGAAGGTCACAAAGTAAAGTGCTCCACCTTTTGACTTTACTTTAAAAGGACCACATAAATCAGAGTGTACTAACTCCAATAATTCGAGCTTTCTTGAAGGAGGATGGCTATGAAAGGAAACCCTTTTCTGTTTGCCAGCTAAACAATGGATACACCTTTTCAACTTTGCTTGTTTTACTCCAGAAAGCAAACTTTTCTTAGCCAAACACGTAACCTCCTTCTCACTCATATGACTCAATCTTCAGTGCCACAATTCTGATAAAGTATCACTTTCCATCAGATTTATGGAGTCATTAAGAATAGAGCCCTGTGTCACATATAATTGAGAAGACTTGACTTCTCGAGCCACTACTAATGAACCCTTGGTGAGCTTCCATTGACCATTAAAGAGGGCATTATGGTAACCTTCATTGTCTAATCTTCCTGCGAAGATCAAATTGAAAGGAAAGTCTGGAGCATGCTTGACATCTTGAATAACTAACGTTGAACTATTATTAGTTTTCAAACAAACTATGCCAACACCAAACACCTTAACTTCACTGGCATTGCCCATCTTTAACACTCCAGAATCAACAGGAGTATAAGATGAGAAAAAGTCTTTTCTTCGTGTGACATATGAGGTAGCTCCAAAATCTAATATCCACCTCGTCTCATGGGATACCAAATTGATGACGTTTTCATCATAAGCAAAAAGAACGTCATCTCGAACAATAGCAACAACATTGTTCTCGTTATTTTTAACTTTTTTTTCTTCTCTAATATCTTGCTTTAACTTGTGGCAGAACCTTTTGATATGTCCTTTCTTACCACAATGGTTGCATGTAACATTATGGTATTTGGACCTTGACTTACTTCTACTTTTACCTCTATTCCTCGAACCTCTTGTTCTATCTCTCCCCCGGTCTTCTGTAACCATGATATCTGCTTGTGAGGACGAACCCTGAGATTTGTTGGGCCCATTCCCATGTTGTCCAGCCAAAGGCCCAATGGCCTAATCCTGTTCTCTTTTGGTTTCCATTCCTACTTGGAATTGGATTCGGTTTTATTCCTATTTAGAGTTGGTTTTGGCTTTAAGAGAAAGCACCATTCGTTATCTATAAATAGGACAACCTTGGAGAATTATTCTATACTCATTGGTATAACTCTTTGAAAGACTTTAGCACATAAGAGTGGTTTCTGAGAGAGTTTCATCAAGAGAGAAGAGAGAAGAAAAGTATTTGTTTTGCTGCAGATTTTATTCCGACTAGCCAACTTCAAATCACGTTTCAGATTCGTTAACCTTTAGATTGTGTTGAAATTTTGACTGAGTGTTCGTAACATATTTGTCTTTGACTTTAACGGTGGAGATAGGA